GGTGCCCTTTTGGAGCTTAAAGGAGAGTTTTCCGAGATGACTATGAAGATCAGATAATGAGGACACATATCGATCGATACACACCCTGTGTAATCGATCGATGACGCTTCTATCGAAGATGAAGTCAAGATACTCCATCGATCGATGTACACCATGTTTTCTTTTATTGCTTGAAACCTAAAATTTATTCTCTTAAGCAACTTACCATTGTTTATAAACTGCAACTTTACTATTTTTAAACCTTTTCAACCTAGCATAATCATTTAGATTATAACTATTGTATTCATAGTTCCCTGTGAATTCGATCCCTAAGTACTACAACTGAACCTCTTATTTGAGAGAGTAATTCACTTAGGGTTAAACATTTGAGTGATATCAGAAACGTTTTTGTCTGCAAAAAAAAAAACTAAAAAAGGGGTGTAACACGAGGACTTTCAGGGAGGTCACCCATCTTAGTACTACTCTTGCCCAAGCACGCTAAACTGCGGAGTTCTGAAGGGATCTGGTGTATTAGTGCTGGTATGATCGCACCCATTTATTACATGACTCGCAATTCTATATATCCTTTGTTTTCCTCATCACGTAATGGATTAGCGTGGGATCTTCATGGTTTGATTTGCATTTATATTCCAGCATAAAATTGTAGTGAGATCTACGTAGAATTCCATGATAATATCCGGAAAACCGGATTTCGACTCATTTTTAGTCCTCAACATTAAACTGCCTCTTTGAGGGTCAAAATAGCTAAATTTGGCATACGAAAAATCGTGACACCTTGTCACTGCCATTTATTGTTTTGGGGCGTCTCCGAAATGGTTCTATTGGTGACGTAGTTCGTCAAGGTTTAAAAGTTATGAAGTTTTCAAGTTCATAAGCGTTTTGGTCTGCAAAAAATTAATAAAAGGCGTGCAACACCAGGACTTCCTGGAAAGTCACCCATCCTAGTACTACTCTCGCCTAAGCACGCTTAGCTGCGGAGTTCTGATGGGATCCGGTGCATTAGTGCTGGTATGATCGCACCCGTTAGTACATGACTCGAAATTCCATATATCCTTCGTTTTCCTCATCACGTTATGAATTAACGTGGGAGATTCATGGTTTGATTGGCATTTATATTCCAGCATAAAGTTGTAGTGAGATTTCCGTAGAATTCCATGATAACACCAGGAAAACCTAAATTTCGACCCTTTTTTAGTCCTCAACATTAAACTGTCTTTTTGAGGGTCAAAACAGCTGAATTTGCGTCCGGCAAAATCGCAGCGCC